GTAGTACCCTCGTAGGGAAGTCATTGGGCCTGTCGTACCAAACGGTCGAGTTTACGGCGACAAAAACCGAAAAGTTTTTGGCGTGGGCTTCTTCGACCAATTATTGGTAGAACGAGCCCACACCAAAACCTTTTCGGTTTTGGCCGCCCAAAACTCGCCCGTTTGGTACTACCGGCCTAAACGTTTACAGCCAAGGTGAAAGGTGCCTTCGCGCCGTAGCCACATCACCCTAGACCTGTTTTTTACCGGTTCACGAATTTGGCGCTGTTTTCGCGCCAGATTCATGAGCCGGTAGGGCCCTTCTTTTTCAAAATACCGTATGTGGGCCTCATTCTATACTTCAGCGGTACCACCCTTGGCCTCTTTCACATCAAAATGAATCTGGCGCTGTTATGCACCAGATTCGTGATCCGGTAGGGCCGTTGGAGCGACACGTGGGCTTGTAGTACCCTGCATGGATGTCATTGGGCCTGTAGTACCAAATGGCCGAGTTTTCGGCGGCCAAAACCTTTTCGGTTTTGGCCGCCCAAAACTCGGTCGTTTGGTACTAAAGGCCCAAACGTTTACAGCTTGGGTGAAAGGCGCCTTCGCGCCGTGGCCACATCACCCTGGACCTGTTTTTACCAGTTCATGAATTTGGCGCTGTTTTCACGCCAGATTCATGAGCCGCTAGGGCCTTTTTTTTTCAAAATACCGTACGTGGGCCTCATTCTATACTGAAGCGGTACCACCCTTGGCCTCTTTCACATCAAAATGAATCTGGCGCTGTTATGGCCCAGATTTATGATCCATTAGGGCTGTTGGAGCGTCGCGTGGGCCTGTAGTACACCGCATGGAAGTCATTGGGCCTGTAGTACCAAACGGCCGAGTTTTGGGCAGCCAAAACCGAAAAGGTTTTGGTGTGGGCTCCTTCTACCAATTATCCCATGAATCTTCGACCTAGCTCTTAGCAAAAACGAGAGAGCTGTTGTAATGTTTCATAAAAACGAGAGAGCTACTTTAATGTTTCCAGTACCCCTTAGGGTCACTGCACGTTAGAAAAGGAAAAACACAAAAACGAGAGAGCTACTGTGATGTTTCTTGTACATCCAGCGGCCTAGCTCAGTTCGTAAGGTATGCAAGTGGCATTCAGGAGGTCTTGGGTTAAATCCCCATTGGCCTCATGTACCTCCCTGGGCATGCTTGGCACTCGCCACCTAGAGATAGTTGTTGGTCCCCCCAATTGGCATTAAAAAGGAGTGTCTGCTGATGTTCATAGGGGGAGGGGTAATCAGGGAGACACAACGACTGGCCACTCAGATGATGCTTGGTCCCTCTGCTATCAACTGTCACCTGGCAGGTGTCCCCATTGGGGGTTCCCTGAAGGCAATCAAGGTCCCCCTGGACTAAAAAGGTCACCCGATGTCAGATTATACACAATATTGAATTTACCTAGGCCGGTTAATCCGATGATAGTACCTCAAGTCCATCGCCCTTTTTAGAAAAAAAGAAAAGAGAAAATGTTTCCAGTACGTTCATAACCCATAACTCTTGGAACACAGACCTGAATCCGAATCCAGAATAGATTGCTGGCATGCTTATGTTCTTCCACCAGTCCAGAGAACGCCCTTCCTGACGAATGAAATCATTCTTACGCTCAGTAGGGGATCCTTTGGAAAGGAGAATACTATGAATGAGTAGTACCAAGAGGCCTCAAAATCTTCTCTTTTCGCGCACACACAATTTTTAAGGGGTAGGGACACTCATTGGTGCAACAACCCATGTGGTATGCCTCGTGCAAACTGAGGTCCTCGCCAGGCCATACCCAGACCCAGGCCAAACAAGGGGAAAAGACCCCAGCTGTGGCGGACCCACCAGGTGTGGTGCTCCGCTAGGGATAGAGTCTCATAGAGATGGAGATTGAGGAGGAAGGGGGTAGAAAGATGGCACAGCGCACCTCCCACGTGAGACTCCAACGCACGCACTCCAAGATGTGCGAATGTAGAATGAACCCAAAAACAGACAACTGTTGGGGTACACCCCAGCGGACTGACGGGACTGGACTGAACTGGCTGGTACCGACAGAGGGACCAGCCTGGACTAGACTGGCCCGAATACATCACAGGCCTGTGAGAACAGGCCAAGGGGCTGGTCTCACAGGTCAACCAAAGGTCCGCTACACGATCCTCGGCCTGTGATGGATCGCCTAGATACAAGCACGCTTCCACCAAGAAGTGAAACTCTACTAAAGAAAACTCCATGCTGAGTCCATGCGATGCAACCTAGAATAGAAAATGTCACAAAAACAGCAATGTCACAACTAACAGCCTAAGTGAAAGCAAAAGCAACCAACTAGCATACATGTCCTAGGAAAGTAGGAAGTAATGACAGTTACGTCTTAGAATGTTGGAGGCAGTAGCCTCTGTCTGAGAGCAACAAAGCAACAAAGCA